TGAGTTAATTCATTGTCCACTCCAAATTAATGGACTGCTTCTATAGATGATAGATAGATGAGTTAATTCATTGTCCACTCCAAATTAATGGACTGCTTCTTCTTTGCCAGGCACTGAGCTTGACTGAAAAATACCACAGAAAGTAAGTTCCCTATTTCTGTCCTCTGCAGAATTCTTCATCTATTTAAGCATGCAATGCTCTAAGGCTTTTTAACTTTGTTAGGAAGCTCTGGTGTCTTAGTCTGTAGGGAGTTAAGCTACTCACTCAAAAGCACAGCTCTCTGGTGGTTTAAATCCAACAGGTGCTCTTTGGGATAAATATGGGCAATCTCCTCCAGTGTGACTTACAGCCTCTGCAAGCCCATTGGAGGGTCAGCTGACATGTGCATTCTGACTTTAGAGTTGTCACAAGAATGAATTCAGTGTCTTAGTTTGACATTTTTTCTTTTGTCTTGTGCAAAACTATGTTATCTAGAATAAAATGGTCCATGTCAAATGGCTGGACAGTACTTTTAGCTTTTTTATTATTTCCCTTTTATTTGTAAGATTACAGAGTAGTTATACTTTAGTAGTTTGTTCCAGTGGTTGTATTTAATGATCCTTAAAAGATGAAGGTTACCAAGCTGACTGTGACACACACAGCCTGTTTCTGTCCTTCCCCATGAACGCCCCATCAGTTGAAATCAAGCAGTAATGAGGGAAGACGAAGAGAAGAGTCCTGTTAGTAGTAAGATGCCTTGTCTTCTTTCTACCAGTAAGGTTGTTGTTTTGTTGTTGTTAAGTGTCGTCAAGTTGTAGATGACTCATAGCGACCCTATGAACAAAAGACTTGAACACTTGTATAACTTTGGTTTTTTTCTCCATGTTCATAGAGTTTCCAGAGGCAAGCCATTTCAGAAGTGGATTCCATTACTGCTTCCAAGCTTGTTTTAATCAGGAAGCTCCACCAAACACTGTCCACCTTGGGTAACCATAGATAGAGGTTCTTAAATCTCCTGCTTTGATTTTATGTCCTGACGATATGCGGGGCTTATGAAAGCATGCCCTGATGTATAACCCCTGCTCTGTGGCTATTGTTCTTAGATGTAGTGCAGTTGATTTTCGAGACTCATGCCTGTAAGTCAGACCTC